CTACCTATCCAAGTATGGTTTGGTCTTAACAAAACACCAAGCGTTATCTTTTAAAAATATAAATTAGGTAATATTAGTCTTGTCTAAATTATCCAGTGTCTCCCCATCCGACTCCAAGGAAAAGCCAGTCTTCTTGGAATTACTTACCTGATGTCACCCCTATTACTGCATTCCTCTTTATCTCCTCCTCCTTTCTCCCCCTGTTCTCTCAACCTCAGTGGCCTTCTTGCTGCTCCTCCAACACTCCAGCCTGGAGAACACGCTAATCTGGTCCATTCACACTTCTTGTTTCTTCCACCAAGAAGAATCTTCCCTGTTTATTCTCATAGCTCATTCTTTTAATTTTTGTCAGTTCCCCTCCCTAAGGAACATTCCAAGCAGCATTCCCTTCGCCACGTATGAGAGTCCCTGTTTGCCTCACTCCTGCCAACAATGGGTATTATTGTTCTTTTCTATTTTTGCCAAATCATTAGACAGGAAATTCTGCCTTATTGTTTTTAACTCAATTTTCTTGGGTTAACTGTTTATGTTGAACACTGTATTAAATTTGAGCAGTTGCAAAAATCTTTTGCCAAATGTTTGTTAAACTGTTTTGTGTGCTGGTGAAGTGACACATGTGATTATTATTTTATGAAGTCATCTCTTTGAAATAAAATTATAAACACATTTTAAAAATGCATTTTTAAAAACTAGCATTTTAATGGCATTTAATTTTTTTACATATATGTTTTTTGTTTTTCTTTTAGGTTCAATCTGATGCAGCACAGAACTATACGGTCTTCTATTCAATAAGTGGGCGTGGAGTTGACCAAGAACCTTTAAATTTGTTTTTCATCGAAAAAGACACTGGAAATCTGTTTTGTACTCGGGCTGTGGATCGTGAAGAATATGATGTTTTTGATGTAGGAGTTTTATTAATATACATGACTTTAAATGATTAAACTATGTTTCTTCTGATACTTTACTCTTTCTTGTCTTCTTGCACTCTCTTCTTAGAGGCTGTCTTAAAGAGGTTACCCTAAAGTCAAGGGAGTGGATTATACAATATTTTGGAATACTTGGTCTGCTCTTTATCTCAACTTCTGTTAGGTTTGTCTGAAATGAAGCAAAGAGCTTTAACTGTATTTGAATGTAAATTGCAGTAAGTTTCCAGGAGTTGTTTTTGCTTATGAGATACTCTCGCTCTCTCTGGCAATGGTAAAATTCTCTCCAGGACATGGACACAGTCTTCCCTCTTCTGCTCTAATTATTT